TAGAGTCGATTGTAACTGATATAGAGATGAATGTGAGAGTAAAGAAATCATCTTGATGTGTAAAGCTTTTATTTCTAACTCTAAGGGCATTTTAGTCCTTTAAATCGGAGGGAAAACCATATTTCATTGGGGAAATTATGTTTCTACACACTGAATTTCCTCAGTCCGCACACTTGATGAATTTTTTTTATATTACATTTTTGCCCTAAAATAAAAATATCAAAATACCCTTGTAACAACCCCTACATGCATATCATGATCATATTTATTCAATTATGTGTTAATTATTAATTGTGATATGTGCCGTGTGATTAAATTGAGTATATCTGTTCAATTTGAAAATTATCTATTTGAATTAGAAACTATCTGTTATGATTTCTGTTGAGAATCTGAAATTGAAGGCCTTAATGGCGTCAGAAACCAAAATTAACTACATGAATAGACTAATTGGAATTTTTAGAACCTTATGGTAAAATTGATTAAAAACTAGTTTAGTTTAATTAATTAAGTTGTGTTTAATTGATCTAATGTTCTAATTATTGTATTAAGCCACTCCAACTATAAATTTGTGCCTTAAGCTCATTTGAGCTCATTTTCCCCTTCACTCTTTAGTGTAAAATCTGAGGGAGAGCTTCTAGAGAGAGAGAGAACTCACATTCTAGAGAGAGAAAGTTTAGAGATTGAAGGAAACTTGAAGGGTTAGATTGAATTGATCAAGTTGGTGCTAGAATTGGTGTGTTTGAAGTCTCTAGGTGAGCACTTAACTCTTAATTCTTGAAGATGATATGTTTTAGAGTTGTGTTAATGAATTATTCGTGAATTTTTTGCATGTATTTTGTTAATTAAAGACAAGAAGATGGAGAAGCTTTACATGCATGTATTAATATGTTGAATTTTGCCATGCTGAGTTTGAATTCTAGCATTCATATTGAAATTGTGGGTTAAATTGTACATGCATGTGTTCATTCATCATGTGTTAACTCTTAGATTCATGCTTTGGAAAGAGTTTTGTACATGCATGGAGCTTTTAAGCTCAAATTTGGCAAATTCATGATTTTTTAGAAAAGAGCTTGGAAAAAACTTACATGCATGAGTTTTTGGGTTCAATTTTGCCATGCTGAGTTTGAATTCTAGCATTCATGTTGAAATTGTGGGTTAAATTGTACATGCATGTTTCATTCATCATGTGTTAACTCTTAGATTCATGCTTTGGAAAGAGTTTTGTACATGCATGGAGCTTTTAAGCTCAAATTTGGCAAATTCATGATTTTTTAGAAAAGAGCTTGGAAAAAACTTACATGCATGAGTTTTTGGGTTCAATTTTGGTATATTTAAAATGATTTTGAGTAATTTTTGAGGGGTCATGTATATATGTTTTCCAAAACAACTATGTTTTTTTGAATAAGCCATGAATGACCCAAGCCTTTGAATTTGCATTTTTGGAGCTCAAACTCTATTCTGGAAACCCATAATTTTTGCAGATTGCTCGAGTGACCAAGTATACGCTTGAACGAACTTGACGAGCTCCCAGTATTTTTGCAGTCTTTACAAACAGTTCGAGCGACCAAGTGTGCGCTCGAGCGAACTCTCTGTATATCGTTAGACCGCTTGAGCGACCAAGTGTTGGCTTGAGCGCAGATCAGATCGTCCCAGTATTTTTGCAGACCATGCAGTTCGCTTGAGCGACCAAAAAGTGGCTCGAGCGGTCAGGTCATTTTCAGCATATTTTGACAAGCTCTTCTGTGTTCATATCTTCATTCTTATCTTCTCTAGAGCATTTCTAAGTATGAATTATGACTCGTTGAGAAACTAATAAGTGAGAAACCAACATGAATGATTGAATTAGAAAGAGAAGATGAATTATTCGATTCGAATTATGTGTTCCAATTTGTGTGTGTATGTGAAATGTGTAGGTTTGAACATTGTGGAGGAACATCAACCTACTCAAGGTGAGAAATATCTTAGTAAAAATATTTTCGCCTATTATATTTTCTGACTGTGTCAATGTGGTAAGCTTTTTTGCACTTATGATTTGAAAGTATAAATGAGTCTTCTCTCTGTTTGTTCGGTACGTTATCTGTAATATATTTCTTGGACCTGAGGTCGTTTTGCTATGTGTTGGGCCGGAGGCTGTTTTATACAACTGTATTGGACCTAAGGTCGTTCTGCTATGTGTTAGGCCAGAGGTCATCTTATATAACTGTATTGAACCCAAGGTCGTTCTGTTATGTATTAGACCTAAAGTCGTTTTGCTATGTAATGGGGTTATCTTATGATTTTACCATTGTTTATAGAACTCATTCATATAACCTCTTTACTTTGATGTTATTCACTGGGCGTTATATATATATATATATATGTATGTAGGTGAGCAGTGAGACGTCCAACCCTAGCCTTAGTGAATCTGTGAAGGTTACCAAGTTTTTGAGGAGCCAACCAAGGATGCCTTATGCAAAAGGCTTTTTTCTTTCGATTTTTTGTTTTCTTTGTTGGCCATGTTTAGCTATGACTGTAAATATGTTTTGAGTTTGTATAATAATGATCTTGTGAATGGTCTTGGCTTATTACTATTTTTTGCATATGAATGGATGTGAGTTATTAACTAAATGAGATGTCTGGATGTGTCATGTATGCACAGCTCATTGGACAAATGTTTAAATTTTATATATCTACTTTCGCTTTTAGCTCCGTTATTAATTAAATATTTCTATTAATTCTGTCTTTCAAGACGACTAATCTGGGGTTACTAGCCGGTTATGGTCTCGAACTTGTAGCAGCGGGTTCGGGCCATCACAACCCTCATCTTTCTAACCAAAACCCTAAGTCATTGCCGTTATCGCTCCCTCTCCTCACCTTTGGTAGCCGCCTTTCCATAGCTTCCCTTCCTTCTTGCTGTCTCCATCAACCACCACATCAACCGCCAACAGCAATCCATACGTTGTCGTCCTAACCCTAACATCACTACATACCATTGTTGCTGCTGCCGCCATCAAACCGCCGCTTCTCCTTCTCACCCGGCGACCTTCTCCAACCCTTTTTCCCAACTCCTGCTGCTCATCACCTGTTAAGATCACGCCATTTTCGGTTGCGATAGCGATCGCGCTTCCTCTCATATTCGGACATCCTTCGCATTATCTTTCCCATCCTATGTCAACTTTCACAGTCACTACAACTGCCACAGCCAGTCTCATCTCTTATCTCTTATGATCTTCTTCTCTTCAAACCCCAGATCCAGGTTTTCCAGATTTCCTTATTTGTTAGTAATAACGGTTGAGACTGTTATCGATCGTCGGCAGTAGAGATCGGGTTATGATGGTGGAGGGGGGCGGCAACCAGAGATGGTGATTAGGGATGACCGAAAGTGGCACAAACTGGTGGTAATGGTAGTGTGAAGAAGGAAGTAGATGAGGACATTTTTGGTATAATAAGTTGTGTATTGAGTAACAAATGAGATTTCGAATTTATTAAGTGTGTGTTTTGAGAAATAATGCACACATAAAAGATTCAATGTGTGAAAATAGAAGCTTCCCTTTCCATTCTCATTTGCACATTAGGCACGTGTTATGCACGGGTTGTTATATTAGATGGAAGCTAACTGTGCATATCAATCAGTAACCACATAGAGTTATGTGATGATTTTCGAATGTCAGGTAAACCACACGTGGCCCATGCCTAAAGAGCTAAAGTGAAGTTTGTGTTTATTATTAGGGAAAAAAGTGAGACCCCTACCACCCCCAGTGAATTCTGATTGGTTCATTTTTTTTATTTTTTTTTATCTTCCGCTTGCTGCCCCCCACGTGTATGTGGGTGTGCTGGGGGTCAGGATCATCACCGTTATTATTATTACTAACTAACAGGTTTTACACACAATATATGCGTAATTTAAAAAAAGATAACCATATAAGAATAATGATATAACACAGTAAAGATTTATATTATCAAACACATAATCTTTAAGGGTTGTTTGAGATGATTTAAATAAGTACACTTTTTAATTTTTATAAAAATATATAAAAAAAATAAAAAAGTGATATGACCTAAAAAAATAAAAAGACCAAACATGATCTTAATTTCAAATCTTTATCCTTTTCATTTTTATATAATATCAACTATAAAAATATTTAAAAAAACCCAAAATATGCGACAAAACAAAGGTTGCGTTTGGTAGAGTTTTGTAAATATGATTTGAGAATATGAGTTGTATTTTGAGTTTGTGAGCTTTAGAATTATGATTTGAGTGTAGAAAATTTGTTTGGTTATGAGTTTTGAAAAGAATTTTAAATTGAGTGGAGAATTTTTGATGTGACATGTGATATTTGATACAAAAGTTAACAACTCATAACTACACACACAACTCAAAATTTTATACAAAACTCATAAATTTTTTTTTTACAAATTCAGAAAATATTTTTTATTTAATATATAAAACATAAAATGTGTTAATTTTAAAAAAAATAAAAAAATCACTGGCGGTGACGTCCTATAGGACATCTGAGAGGACATCCGGGTGACAAAATTTTCAAAATAAAATACAAAATTAATTTTTAAAAACCGTAAACAAACACACAACTTAAAAACACACTTGAAATCACATTCCTAGAACATAAGCACACAGAGCCAAGGTGTCAACAGGATCCGGACCGGACCTTCTTTTATAAAATAGAATCCAGACCTTCTTTTATAAAATAGAATAGAATCCAGACCTTCTTTTATAAAATAGAATAGAATAGATTCTTAGTTGGTGTTTGAGAAGTAAGTTTTTATGTAAATTTTTTTAATTGTAGAATATTATTAGAGAATTTTTTTTGATATTTAGAAAGATAATTAGATTGTTTTGTGATTAGATGTGATATTTGTGAGAAAAAAAAAAAATAATTATAAAATTAGATGTGATATTTTGTTTGAATATATATTTTTTAATTTTTTAAAAATTTTATCTTTTATTGAAAAAAATAAAAAAAAAAACAAACCAAAATCTCGCCAAACACCGCTAATTGATTTGCTTCCCTCTTAGCATCGTGGTCGGACAGTCGGAGCCAAAACTTTTTAGAGAAAGAGCAAGAGCAAGAGCAAGAGCAAGAGCAAGAGAGAGAGAGAGGGACCATTGGTGATCCTACTTTGGTTTCGCTTCGATCGTCTCTCTTCATACGTTTCTCATCGGCCCCTTCCTTCTTCAGCTACCAAATCCACGGCCTTCTTAAACTCTCACAAATGGGTACGTCTCTCTCTCTCTCTCTCTCTCTCTCTCTCAATTTTCAGTTTTCTGGTCGACTGAATTTACGATGTTTATCTTAAAATCTCATGTTCTGGTGCATCACAACCCTATAATTGAACTAACTAAATTATTGTTCCTCTTTAATTAATTTGCTATTAATTCTATGTTGTTCTTAGGGTTTTAATTCATATAACTGAAAACTCTGACAATTTTATATGCGTTTAATGGGTTTATACTTAACTGTTTTCTATTTAACATTTTTTGTTCCACAAACTTCAATCTTTATGGTTTTTCTCTAAATTTTGATGCCATGATTTTTCCTAGTTGGGTTTAGTTGTTAAAATTTGGATCCAAACCAAGTATAGTTGGTGAAAAATAGCCAAAATGGTTTTTTTATTTTTTAAATTTTTTTTATGGACTTCTTGAATCGTTTTTAAACAGTGATTTTTGATCTTCTGAACTGATGTGAACTGGGTATCCTTCTATATGCGGTTCTGATAAATAAAATATTATGTTTCCAATTTGTTTGCCAAGAAAATGTTCGGAAGGGAAGATAAATTAGTTGTTTGAATATTAGATAGGATGGCTCATGGTTGTTGGTATCAATAGAAGAAACATGTCCGTTCTAGCTGGCTTGACATGGCAGCTCTGCCTATTTAAGGAGAGTTTAGTTTTTTTGCAAAACCGAAAAAATCAATTATATGGCTCAAAGTTATATATTTGAATAGTTTTCATTCACAGCAAACCGAACAAAAATGGTTTACTATGACACTGGTTACAAATATTGCTACTTCTATTTTTCTTATTTATTTAAGTTTATTTCTTTTACATTTGTAACTGGGTGTGAAAGTGACATTGGCATGAAGATTGGTGGTTCAAATACCATTAAATGTGACTATGAAATGAAGAATGAGTAATGCATGTAATGTGGCAAATTTTGTGCACTTGGTGGAGTTAACCCATCTCTCATGTTAAGAATCTGAGTTTTCGGAAGTTCTGATTTATATTTTCTTTGTTTATGTTTTTCAGAGGAAGGGAGTGAATCTTGTTCCACTCACCTCATAGAAGGGGATGGTACATTCAATTTTGCCGGAATTGAGAATTTTTTGAAGGAGGTGAAATTGGCTGAATGTGGGCTTTCGTATGCTGTAGTTTCGATTATGGGGCCACAAAGTAGCGGTATAAATTATTTCCCTTCGTAAGATATTCGGCCTATTCTTATGTGTTTTGCCAGTGAGGCATTTTCACCAAGAGAATCTCCATTGGTTTAGTGTTTTTTTGCTATTTTAACACAGAAAAAGTGCACTTTATACAGATTTAGTACAAGTTGCTCAACTGGTGTGAAGTAATTTTTGTGCTAAAATCCGAGGCTGTTGAGTGTGCTATTATTTTAGCATATATTTCATTTTTACTTTGCTGATAATAAGTTTTTGCTTGAGGCTCCATGTTAGAGATGTGTATAACCATAATCAGATCATCTTTTATTTTGTCTCCCTTTCATTCATGTCATCCATTATTCTTTTCTTTCTTCTCGTATAGCATTCCTTTCTTGAGTACCATTTATTTTCTTCTTAAAAATCTCATTGAATCACAAAAACTAAAACTCGTAGGTGGATTAATAGCTTTATATTTCTTTATTGTTGGATTAATAATGTCATGATAAATTAAACTACAATTATAATGGCATAGATGTAGTTTTTATTAAAAAATTCAATTGTACATGACTTTCTTTAACAAGTAAATGAACGTCTATGATGTTACTGCATGTCAAAAACATTCAACTTTACTTTTGTGCAGTTTTACATTTAATTCAACAATCCCTCCCCAACAAGAAAATTGTGTTTTTTTCTTTGTCGCTTCAACTTTGTTATTCATAAGAACGTACTGCCCGGTTGGTTTGTTTTGGCATGAAAACATGTACTTCCTGACTGCCTCTTCATAATTGGCAATAGATATGCTTTTTGCTTCATCTGATTTTGATAATGATTTACATGATTCTAACAGGGAAGAGCACTCTATTAAATCATCTGTTTGGGACCAACTTTAGGGAGATGGATGCATTTAGGGGAAGGCATGTGCTCATAAAGCTCTCATGTTAGATCACTTTTGTTTTTGACCAGACACCATAAACTTAACAAGATCCTCTTCTCTTCTTTTTATTTTCTTTCTTTCTTTCTTTCTTTCTTTCTTTCTTCTTCTTCTTTTTTTTTTTTTTTTTTTCAGGGCTCAAACAACTAAAGGTATTTGGTTAGCAAAATGTGCTGGCATTGAACCCTGCACTCTTGTTATGGATTTGGAGGGTACTGATGGAAGAGAACGAGGAGAGGTAATTTCAAAACTTAGTTTAGATTATATGAATAGATGGTTCTGACTTCATCTATACATACATTTTTCATATACATAGCTTGAGTTATTGCTCTTTGCTTTTCTCTTTCTCAAGGCCATGTTTCTTTCAATTGCATGGGTACTCACTTTGTTGGTTTTTCTGTTTGCTTCACTTTCAAATGACATAATGGATTAACATAATGGAAACCTATTTATAATGGGATTGGCAAGGAATGTATCTTGTATGCATTTTTCCTTATGATTAGTAATCAGGTTGCTCCTCTCTTGTAGTTGCTTCATATATTTCAAAAGGAAAGTTACCCTATTTTGTCTACACTGATATATATTGTACTTTAAATTGGAAAGCTGTAGCAACACAGTTATAAAATTAAATAAAATCTATATACAAAGTGTAAAATTCAAGTTAAAGTTGTAATTTTATTTCCCAAAATAAATTTAATTGTATTGGGTTTCACTATAACCATCCAGGGCTGAAATTTAACTGGACAAAGAATTTAAATCATGTGGGATTTTATAATTTTGTTGCTGTTGAAGCAATCGAAGAAAGATGAAAAACACAATTAGAAGTGCTTCTGAATTTTTTTGTAGCATCTCTTTCTCTTCCCCGCACGTGCGATTGCATGATTCGATTGAGATTCGTGGTTCAGGCTGGCAAATTGTATCAAGTAAACTTGTATGCATGATTCTAATGCAATGATCTGAGAATCCAGTTGGTGTAGGATTTTGATTGGAAACATAGGATGTAGCAACTAGGCAGGCATGCACATGTTGGTTTTTATTTTTATTTAGTTGAATTATTATTTTTTATTTTGGCTTTCTGTCCCTCATTCTGGTTTTTCAAATTGTCCTTTCAGGATGATACTGCATTTGAAAAGCAAAGTGCCCTTTTTGCTCTTGCTGTTTCAGATATAATGCTAATCAATATGTAAGTTTGTTTTATATAGCTTAAGCAGCAAGCTGTATGGAATCCGAACATTTTATTTAAAATGATTTGTTAAGATATTCTATAATTTATATGGATAGTTTCGTTGAAAATATTATTATTTAGGTGGTGCCATGACATTGGCCGTGAGCAGGCTGCAAATAAGCCTCTTTTGAAAACTGTATTCCAGGTATCTCCCATGTATCTATATTACACAAGCAATTATTTTAAGTTACATGCACTGCAATCAGTTAAAATTTATGATGGTCCTTGTACAGGTCATGATGCGATTATTTAGTCCACGTAAAACAACATTAATGTTTGTAATACGAGACAAAACAAGGGTATGTTTCCCTCTTCTTATTTCATGTTGCATTTCTACATTGATATTCTTTTATTTATTTGGCTTTGTCGAATTGAACTGAATCTTAATAGTGCATTTAACCTTTCTTCTTATTTTATAAAAAAAAAAAAATTGTTTGTGTAGACGCCGTTGGAAAACTTGGAACCTGTTTTGAGGGAAGATATTCAGAAGGTAATGCACTTTTCTTTTGATTCTCTTTATAATCTTATTTTGTCAATTTCCTGACCATTTCTTGGTTGCAGATATGGGATTCTGTTCCTAAGCCACAAGCTCACAAAGAAACTCCTCTAAGTGAGTTTTTTAATGTAAGATAGTCACAATCCCCACTCAATATGAGCCTAGGCTTGTCTTCATCTAGTTATTGGGAATGAATGATTATGCAAAATATACGAATGTCTGATTATTGATTTAATTGTCAGGTTGAAGTTGTGGCTCTTTCTAGTTATGAAGAGAAGGAAGAGCAATTTAAGGAGCAGGTACACTTGTGTAGAATATCACACTGGTGTAAAAGTACACAAATTTGTTTGTTCATTGCATACAAGACAAGATCATTTTTGTTACCTGTTACCTTAGCTTCATTTAATATAGAATTATGGAAGAAGGTCAAGATTTTTTTGTACATGATCCCATTTAGAATTTTTACTTATTATCGACTTGGTGATCATGGTTATTTTTTTATTTTTGGATTGAAGTACACACATATATGTGTGTGTGTGTGTGTGTGTTTTCTTGGAACTTCAAATTATATAGTTCATATCCATGCTAGTTTCCAATTTTCTCATTGTTGGATTGCATTGCATACCATTAATTATATCTTATTTATTATTCAGGTTTCAGTTTCTGATTTGGATGACAGACCTACCTTTTTGCAGTTAATGACCTTCGGAATATAAACTTGTGCATTTTGTTTGTGTTTTGTATAATGAAGGTGGCTAGTTTAAGGCAGCGATTCTTTCATTCTATAGCACCTGGTGGGCTGGCTGGAGATAGGCGGGTTGTAGTTCCTGCTTCGGGGTTTTGTTTTAGTGCACAACAGATCTGGAAAATTATTAAGGAGAACAAGGACCTTGACCTTCCTGCCCATAAGGTAATAGTCTGAAAATCTGGTCAAGGAAGTTACTAATTGAATTGCTTTGGAGATTGATGTTATATACCTAGGGTTATGGTGCAGGTTATGGTGGCTACTGTACGCTGTGAGGAAATTGCCAATGAGAAGGTTTCTTCTTTTGCTGGAAATGAGGTACTTGCTTTCCATTTATTTGAACTTTTGGTTTCTAGTATTGTTATACATTTTTTAATGGTCTTCCATTGAATTAGCCAATTTGATGTAAAATTATTGCAGGAGTGGTGTCAATTAGATGAGGCTGTTCAAACTCGTCCAGTATTGGGCTTTGGGAAGAAGCTTAGTTCAATTATCGACACTTGTCTGTCAGAGTAAGTACATACCCTATGGTGTAATATTCACTTTCCATTGTTTCAGCAGCGACTTTTGATTGGTCTGTGAAGCATAAGCTTATGGTAACTACTAAGAATTTGGCAGAGCTTGCTGAAGCTCACACTAATGCATTCATGTTTGCCAATTGATCTTTGAATGCTGTGTGGTTGAGAAGTAGTGCGATTAAGGGAATGCCTAAGATAGACTGATTTGGAGAGGTGTGATGGTTTGACTAGATGGAGTGGATGTTTTTCTGAATATGGTAAATGCATGTCGTTAAAAAGAAAAGAAAAGAAAGGAACAGGATAAAAGTATGGCTGATGTAGGACAGCGCTGTTAGGGGCTGTTCTGGGGCTGTGAAAACGCTGAAATTTAAGAAAGAAAGAAAGAAAGGGAAAGAAGAAGCTAGTTTTAGGAATCACTCCAGAGGTCTTAGGAGTCACACCTAGGTTTAGGGTTGCATCACACAAACCCATAAAGCTTCAAAGCTCTGAAAATTCTATAAAATATCAACCCTATTGAATTAGAAGCATTACATGGCTTTATATAGACTTTAGAGACTTGCTATTCTAGCTAGAACCAAAAAAAGAAACTACTAAAAATAAACTTCCATAACCTATGATCAGTTAAATAACTTGACCCACAAGACAACCCATGATCAATCCGTACAGGCTACAACCCATGTTGGCAATTTAGCAAATATGAAAATTATCAAAATACCCCTAATCTAAAGATCCTAGAAAACATAAAAATAATTTTAAGTAAGATTATAGTAATACTAGAAACATGATTATGTATGGTTTTTATCGGTTTATCTTTGAAAACATGTCAATTTATTCTTTAAATTGGCATGGATAGAAGCATGGTTTTATCGCCTCTGCTTTAAATTTATTCTTTCTTGAGCTTCTTGTACTCTGCATCAATGCCTGATGCGCAAAACTGTATGAATGTGGTTAATAAATGTGAGGGGACAAAGCAGTATTTTAGCTCTCCAATACTTGCAGCATTCTTATTTGTAAAAGACCCCATTAGAATGAAATAGAAACTTCAATTGAAGAGTGGTTTGTTTTATTGTTATATGGTTGGGATTTATTTAGAGAGAACAAATTTTTAAGAATTCAGGGAGACGAAGAATTGGGGAAGAAACATTAAATTGGCTTTTTGTTAAGCACCTTAAGCAGTTGCTGATATGACGTACTGGCACCCCTGGAATATCTTCTAATTATTGATGGCCTATGGTGGTGTAGAGTTGATGCTGGTGGGAGGAGTAGTTGATTTTCTCTGTGTAAGATGGGAACTCTGCCGTAAATTTGAATGGTTTAGTTCAGCTTTGTATTTCTCTATATTTCTCTATATATCTATCAATATATCTCATGTTTGTCGTCCTTGTCTTTTTGGTAATGTTTGGTTCATTTCAATTTGACCTTGTAGCTTTCTTTGTTTATAAGATAGTATGAGCCACCTTTACATTTATTTCGGAGTTTGTTGTAATCTGATGTACAATCATTTGAAATTTTGTTTTGATAGTCTGGAGATGTTTGCTATATCTCTTCAAGAATAATGTTGATGAAATTCTTTTAATTTTTTAGGTATGATATGGAGGCTACGTATTTTGATGAAGGTGTTAGATCAGCAAAACGAAAGCACTTGGAAGAGAAATTGCTGCAAGTAATGCCTCCTTATGGCTGTGTGTAAAATTTTGAATTTTTATACCATTTATTGTTCTAATGATGAGGGAAGTATCACAATCATGTATAGCTGCAAGATGGTTGGAATCTGTGTCCAATATGCATTTAGAGGATATAGAAAACTGAGGTTAATGAATGATCTGATTGAGATTTGTAATCTTGGTATCTAAGTTCACTGCTGGAATTGGCCTACCACTTTTTGACATTAACTTAAACAAAACATTTATATGTACAACATTTTTCATCACTTGTTTGTGTAGAGACACCATCTTATAACATGACACCCAGATTTTTGAACAGTGCATAAAGAAGAAAAACTTCACCTGAAGTGGTCTGATTAGATAGGGATTTTACAAAAAGAGGCTGTTGTTTGTCCTCGTGGCCCATGCTCGATGCCCTTCCTATACAACATTTCTTTTTGAAAATATTGTTTTTGGTAATTTAATTTAAGTCTCCCTCTCTTATTAAGCTCATAGAGGGAGAGGACTTGATTACTTGAGCTTCTCATCTGTAGAGGCTCTTGATACTACCAGGTCACAAGGTCACTGGTAAATTATGATTGTTTCCTTGTATAATATTTTGATACATGGAAGCCGTTATTTATCAATTTATATTCCCTTTTCTCATTGCTTGTCTCCTGATTTTTCAGCTTGTTCATCCGGCCTACCAATCCATGTTAGGACACATAAGGTCGGGAACTCTGGATAGATTCAAAGAAGCATTTCACAAAGCTTTAAATAGAGGGGATGAGTTTTCTGTAGCTGCTTGTGATTGCACTGAGTCTTTCATGTCTCTATTTGATGAAGGATGTGCAGGTATGGTTACTGATTTCACTATGTCATTTACAACTGTGAAATAAAAGGGTTTCGATTTACCAGTTTTAGATTTGTTTGTTATCTGATTTGGTTTCTGTTTCAATAATTACTCATTTTATACCAATAATTCCACTCCTTTATTTATGTCAATTCTATTTTATTTTACAAATGCTATTGCAGCTATATGGGGAAAAAAAATGTTATAAAATAACATACTTTGTTGGAAGGGACTGTAATTTATGTTTAACACAATATTAGGGTTTAGGTTTCTGTGTACAAACTTTGTCAGCCTGAAAGGCTTCTTGTTCTTATTTGATTTTCATCAATATGGTTCCTAATTGCATAATTTTATGGCTCTTTAATCTCCACTATCCTTAATTACCATTATCAATAATAGGGGTATTGCTATTTTAATTCAGATTGGTGATAAGATAATAGAAGTCCCTGGTTAATTTAAATATATAGGGGATTGCCAGTGAAGCATTTATATCATACTCATCCTCAGCACTAAATGGAAAGTTCAATCCAGTTTTTTAGCACAGTTTATGATGCATGTGTTAAAGTAGAAATATTTTTGTTCGTTTAGACAGGTACAAAAAGATTATTTACCTTATGATTGCTTTTGAAAGTGAACTTATGCTTCAACATATTCTATGAAACTATAGTTTGCATTGCTTTCATTTTAACTGCTGGCAAGTTTCACTTACGAGAATTTTCAAAGCATTTTTCTTACTGATGGTTTGTGAGAAGTTTTGGGTGTGTTTGGTTTGTGTTTTGAGATAAATTTTCAAAAATTTTTTTGGGGAGAGTTTAGAAATTTTTTTGGCTTGTTTGGTTGTATATTTTGAAAATAGTTATGGAGTTTGGGATGATTTGATATTTTGTTGTAGTTGAGTAGATGTGTGTGAGAGAAAAAGTGATTGAGAAGGAGAGAGGAGAGAGAGAAAAAGTGATTGATTGATGTGTAGGAGAGAGAGTGATTTTGGAAATTTTTTTCAAAAAATTTGAACCAAACAAAATTTTGAAATTTTTTCTCAAAAATTGTATCTTGAGATACAAACCAAACAAGCCCTTTATGATTTGCTGAATGTGCTTGAAGCCATGGTTTAACTGTTTAATAAGCTGAACAGCTTAGCTAGTAGGTCTTTCCTTTCCAGCAAATCACATTTTGGATGCTGACCAATTAATTAACCCTTCAGATGCCATCATTGAACAAGCAAACTGGGATTCATTTAAAGTGCGGGAGAAACTTCGGCGTGATATAGATGCTCATGTTGCTACAGTTTGTGCTGCCAAGCTGTCTGAACTTGCTACCCTGTATGAGGTATTTGTTAACCTTGGGGTTGTTTACTTCATCAAGAAAGTGTTTCTGACTACTGTGACAAATTTTGAGATTTCGCAATCATTTGGGGAGTTTTTTATTTATTTTTATAATCAGTTAGGCAAATAATGAGCATAAGCTATGGAAATATGGTGTAATGTTTAGCATGACTTAAAAATAATGTAAATTATCAGGAGATAGTTTTACTAGAATGGAGGGAAAGTGTCATTTGGAAAAAGACTCATACATAGTGATTCTGTGATCATTGGTAATGACCTGCTAATTTTCCAATTCACTGTATTTATGGACTCATACATAGGGATTCTGTGATCATTGGTCATGACTTGCTAATTTTTCAATTCACTGTATTTATGTACTTTGTATTTTATCGAGTTGTAGGAGACTAAGGTCAGTTATACATGCAAATGACAAAGGTGCAATATATTTACGTTGTGTTTCGTTGGGAGATTTGGGAAGGGATTTGGAAAGGGAAATGGAAATGGTAGGTGAAATGTGAATAAAATAAACTTACATTTAACCTAGTTTCATACACTTTTTCCCTTTCTCTTTTCAAATTCTTTCTCAAATCCCTCAAACAAATAGAGTGTTAGGGACTTCAATAACCTTGTAGAATTCATTCCTCTTTATAAGGAACTAATAATACCTTTATCTTAGGGACATAAAAAACCTAGTAGAATTTGTCCTTTATAGGTCAAATTCTCATCATAAGGAACTGATAATACTTTATCTTCAGACAAAATTAAACGTAGCATTATCAGGACCTGTTGAAGCTCTTTTAGATGGAGCTGGCGATGATACCTGGCCGGCAATAAGGAAGCTTCTTCGCCGTGAGACTGAATCAGCTGTCTGTGGGTTCTCTGTAGCACTTTCTGCTTTTGACATGGATGAGCAAACCAAGGATAGGATGCTTACAAGCTTGGAGGATTATGCAAGAGGAGTGGTCGAATCAAAAACAAAAGAAGAAGCTGGAAGAGTTCTGATCCGTATGAAGGACAGGTGTTTTCTCCTTGAAACATTCGGATTCAGTTGTTTTGGCTCTCTTTCAAAATCTTGGTTCAGTTGTTTTCAACCTATAGGTTACTGAGACTGATTGCAAAATTGCCCACAGGTTTGCTACATTATTTAGCCAAGATTCTGATTCAATGCCACGGGTTTGGAGTGGGAAGGAAGACATCCGAGGAATCACTAAAATGGCTCGCTCTGCAGTATGACACACTTAATGTTATAGTTTTATTTACATTGGGCGAAATTTTCAGTTTCGTATAACATTTAATATCATCTGATTATTTTTAATAATTATCTAATTCAGTCTTTGAAGCTGCTTTCTGTAATGGCTGCAATCCGTTTGGATGATGATGCTGATAACATTGAGAAGACACTAGCTGTTGCTTTGGTGGATGCTAGAAGTGGTGCTACTACCAATAAGAGCATCACATCAGATGACCCCTTGGCATCAAGCACTTGGCAAGAGGTGACCATTTGTACTTGCTTAAATTGCCTGTTTCTAAGCCTCTGATTGTGTTGAACTCTTTAGTTATTATAGAATGACAATTTTATTAGATAAAAGAACATTGGTGATGCCATCAACTGGATAGATAGATAGATTGTTCTGGCTAAAATCATATGTACCCCTGTGAAATATTTCTTTTGTGATTTTTCTAGCTTTGAATATTGCTTTTGTGCAAACACAATTATGCTTGCAATTCATTTTTGACATGGTAGATATGCCTAGATTTATTACAATGCAGACTTAGGTGTGTTGTGAAAAATTCTAATTTATCTTGATAGTGATTGAGTACTTCATGCTTGTCCATGATTCAGTGCTCTCTGTTCCACACAGGTGCACAAACATGCATAGGAAAACATAATCACATACAAAAACAATTTGTTTGAAAATCTAGTGAGGGCATGCATGAGTACCCATCCTCTTTGACTCTGGAGGACTAATTACTTCTTGTGGTCTTCTTCTTGTTTTTGTTTAAATTTGGTATTTTGTATTTTTGGTAATCAGGTTTCATCATCAAAAACATTGATCACACCCGTTCAGTGCAAATCTTTGTGGAGGCAATTCAAGATGGAGACAGAGTACACTGTCACTCAAGCCATTGCTGCTCAGGCATGATATCATACATATGAGGCTTCTTAGAATGTCTTTTTTATCTTCATCATTATCTTTCTGTTTTTGTTTCCCCCCCTCTTGGTGAATGCCTTTTATGTCTTCATTGTTTAATTTCTAGATAAGTGCAAAAAAATATTGGCTGGATTTTGAGGGCTTTTTAAAATTGTTACAATGATGCTTGGAAGGTGCCGGTTAGCTTGGTAAAATCTTTGCGTAGTCGTACCAAACGCCTGTGATTGAATCCTGCCTTCATCAGGGTTGGGGGGTGGGTGGTTCACGGGTACAGGAGGTCTACACAAGGTGTTTAAACCATCAACGTTGGACCGTCGGTAGTAAATAAGAAAGCAAGAATCAACTAGGTGCAACTTTGACCGTAAGTAAGAGACTTAGCATATTAGTAGATGTGTTGTTAGATATTTAGGGGATCACAGCAGTATTCTTGCTTATTGTTCTTCAGAAAGCCATTCATCTTTCCCCCTTAAATGGTAATCATTTGTTTTGGTACTTGTCCTACTGGCACTTTGTCAGGACCCATACCCGCTCCTAAAGGTTTAGGCCATGACTGGCCAGTAATCTCAGATTATCCAGCCTCAAAGACAAAACAAATAACTAATAACAGTGATTGGGGTTTTGCGGAAGCAATAATAGAACATAACTATGTCCATCGAGTAGTGCATACATGCAAATTTCACAAGTATTTAAAACTTAAAACTCATACATCTATTCTTATATTCATACGTAGGTACAATACATCCAGTTAAACTTCTTACACATATTATCCATTCAAAATAAGTCCCCAAAGAACAAAAACAAAAGAACATAAAACAAAAGGGTTGACACAGCTTGGCTCCGCTTGAGTTTAAGTACGCCCCATCATGGAGGCACTCCATAGCAGCTTCACAAAAAGGTGGACTCCTGAGATTGCTCTAGACTCGACGTTCCATCTGCTTGCCTACATATATATAGGGAAAAGGGGTGAGTTAAAGCCCTGTGAGTCATATTAGCATAAAGAGGTTAAATGAATGTTGTCTTGCATAATACAAACCAAATCTCAAGAGTTTCGGAATGAATCATAATTAAGTACTTGTCATATCAAAGTTCATAAATCATAACTCATAAATTGTACATCCAATAGCGCAAAGCAAAGGGTCCGAAGACATATATCAAAGGGACCTTGAAGGTCGACATAGGAATCGCACGAGTCTAAACGAAGGGACTATCTAGATCAAGCAAAGGGACTACTTGGTGTACATCAGAGATCTTTGTAATCAAATAACGAAGGGCTTTGGTGTTATTTCCCCCAGGCAAGGGCCTTATCAATCAAAGGGCCATGATATTGTTTCTCCCAGGCGAGGGCCTATTCTATTAAACAAAGGGCCATTGTATTGTTTTTCCCGGGCAAGGGCTTCACTAAAGGATGCCACAAATACATTTCAAAAGAGACAAATAATTCGTCCAGTCAAAATAACATTCTTGAAGTAATTCAAAATACATTTAAACATATCTTTACAAAGATACTACTCAAAGTGGGCTGGTACAGTACAGGTGTTGGCCTCATATGACCACCTACATGAAACACACGACAAAGATACACATACAAAGCAAATATTGTATCTTAATTCAATTCTCTTACGTGTGTTTCTAGCTTATTCCGTGGCTAAGGATGTCTAAATAACGCTTAAGAATGCCTAAAAGGGCATGAGGATGCAAATATGCACATGAGTGTTTGCTAAAATTGCTGAAAACAGGGTGTTCGCTTGAGCGCACCTTTGGTCGCTCGAGCGGTGTGGCATGACTGCAAAAGTACTAGATGGTGTCGAAGTAGGCTCGAGCCATCACTTGGTCGCTTGAGCCAACTGCAAATGTCTGCCAAAATACTGGGAGCATGCAAAGTGCGCTCGAGCCACGGATCCGTTGCTCAAGCGAACTGGGCAAATTCTGGGTTTTCCAGATTGCAATTTGAAGTTCAAAAGTGTCTTTCATGTTCAAAGCTTGCATGGCTTATAAGGACTTGAAGAAACTCTTTATAAAGCATGAATTCATGGAAATTATGAAACCATATTCTCAAATTCTCTTTTAATTTCCCAAAACAAGACTTAGAACTCAATGTTTTTGCCATGCATGTAATAAATTGAACTTCTTTTCTTTCAAAGCATGATTAATTGAGATGAGTGTAAAGTCATGGAAAATCCTTCAAGTTGATGTGTCTAAGCTCCATGCATGTATGAATTTATAGAAAATCAAGCATAAAGATGAAGAATTATGCATGCATGTCCAATTTCAACTCAATTCTACAAGAATTCAAGTGATTCTAATATTTTCCTCTCAATTACATTCAATTGATTCTACAACTTCATGAACTTAACTTCTACATAGATTATTTACAAGAATTATGGGTGATAATCTTACCTAGAGCTTGAATTGAAGGTGTTTTAGCTAAATCTTCTCAATTCTTCCTCAATCTCTACATTTTCTTTTCTTCTCTCTCTCTAGATGTTGGCCTCCCTCTCTTTCTACAATCTCAGCCACACTCTTGATGAAAATGAACTCAAAACATGATTAAGTCACATATATAAGTAGGTTAAGTTAATTAAGTGAGGTCAAGGTTAATTAATCTAATTTAAGCTTATTTAATTCTAATAAAGTCTAATTGATTTATTCTAATTATTTTGATCCGAATCAAATTTTAATTAAAATTTTCATATGATTCTAAATATTCCAATTAGTCTATTGAACTAATCAATTTTGGTTCCTGAATCCGTTTAGGCTTTAAATTTCGAATTCTAAGTCAGTACTCTAATAGATATTCCAAAGACAGACAGATAAACACAAATTAAACACTTAATTAAGCGATTATACTCAATAAAATAATATGTAAAAATAATATGCATGTCGGGATCATCTCACTTCCTTTAGAGGAGCTGTGTTTCTGTTCAATGCCTTGTAGACACATATTTCCTTTGATACATGCTTGGATAGCTAAGAAGCACTAACACTTTTTAGAAGGTGGCGCATCTGTGTCGTGTCCGTGTCGAACACCGACACTAATTGGACACTTCTTAACATGTGTCTAATGTGTCCTATTTTTTAAAAAGTTTTTTAGATCCGGACACTCTTTGGATACTCTTCGGACACTTAGAGGGCACTTGTATCCACTGATTACATACACATGAAATTAATTATAAGTTTGAACTAAATAATTTAGGATACAATAATAAACAAAAAAATAATGTAAATTAATAAAATAAGTGTTATATTTTTTTTATTATTTTTAAATGATATATTCATATATATAACATATAATAAATATATAAAATTATATATTTCGTGCGTGTCACCCACGTGCCGTGCTCTATATTTTTTTAAAATTGGCGTGTTGGGGTGTTTGTGTTGTATCTGTGTCCTGTGTTCGTGCTTCTTAGTTGGATAGGTATTGGAGTGCCTCTGGCCTATATAGAATTTCAAAATGAAATTTTCAATTGCATGAGGCGGACACAAGGCAAGCACTAGGAGGTCCTGAGGGCATCTTTTAGTATTGAAAAGGAATGTGGTTGTAAAACAGTATGTATGTAAGAATAGTGTGGTAGTCATTGTGCATTATGCGACTCACCAAAAGAAATAGAAAAGAAAAGATCCAATTATGTTTACATCAATGTTTGGTTCTTATCATATGTCTATATCAGTTGATGTCCAACAAGTGGGCTTGTGTTTCTGTTAGCCCACTGGCATCTTGGTCCCTCGCCTGAGCTTGGCCCAATTTGTTCTCAAGGAAATATAACTACGTCCGGGCTTAGCTTTTTGTGTGGGTTGAGATTTTGATGGGTTTTAGTGACTCTTCGTAAAAATGACGGATATGTACCACTTGACAACTGCTTGCATGCGGCGTAGTTCACTTTCCTTGAATAAAGAAATACAATAATAAAAAATAAACTTTTGTAGGTCTTTTATTTTGTTTTTTTCTTGCGCAGTAAATTTATTACTGATTTTCACCTCATTGCCAATGACTTCTGATTGGATCCCATTATATTTTCAGGAAGCTAGCAAGCGTAGTAACAATTGGTTGCCACCTCCATGGGCAATTGTTGCCTTGGTTGTCCTGGGGTTCAATGAATTTATGACACTTTTGAGGTACTTTTTGTCCAAGTACTTGTTTACAACATTATTCTTTTTCTAGTGCAGTTAAATTTACTCATAAAAAAATGTTTTTAAATTTCTGGATTGTTGTGCATTTACTGGTGGATTTTACCTATTGGCATTTTTTCATGGCAGGAATCCTTTGTATCTAGTTGTAATTTTTGTTGTTTTTCTACTTGTAAAAGCCCTATGGGTACAACTTGACATCTCGGGTGAATTCCGCAATGGCGCTGTAAGTGTCAAACTATCTTTGGTTATTTATGCTCTTAATCAATTCTTGGTATGTTTTGACGCAAGCTTATTGAAGAAACATTTGACGCAAGCTTATTGAAGAAACATTCTGTAAAAACTCCTATGCTTGATGTATTTATTAAACCTCTTTTGCAATTTTCTGCTGTTGTCAAAAAAGGTAACTTGAGTTCATTTTGCCATTGTAATTTCCTCAGTGCAGGTTCTGCCTAGTATATTTTTTTCATTATTTTTTTATTTTTTATTTTTTGTGTTGTGTTTTCCTTTTCATTTTTGGTCCTGCCTCATAGTGTGTGTCTTAATTTTATTAATTTCGACGAAATTTATTAGATATTGAAGCTAACACCTGAAATTTCATTTTTTTGTCTAGGGTTGGGCTGGTATATTCGAGTTGTTGGTTTGATGTGACTGGGTCTCCCATGGACACTCGGTTTTTTTTTTTTTTTTTTTCTCCTGGTATTGGGTTTCAAGAAGAGTCAGAAATCCTAAGAAATCTCTGCTCTGATACCATGTCAGTTCATTGAATAATATATTTTTTCCTTACTACAAAAAATACAATTATATAGCCCATACAGTAAACTAATTTAGGCATTGATTGAGCTTGACCCACAATCAATGGAGTTTAACATGGTAACTCAATTTCCTACAATCAATCCCTTCCATTCTTGTTTTATAACTCATGCCGACACTCCCCCTCAAGTTGGTGCATAGATGTCTTCCATGCCCAACTTGTCGAGTGAGTTGTGGAGTACTCTGTTGCCTTTGTTAGTATATTTGCCAGTTGATCTTCGGATTTAACAAATGGGAATTGAATTTCCTTGGACTTGAGCTTTTCCTTGATGAAATGTCTGTCCACCTCAACATGTTTTGTGCTGTCTTGTTGAACTGGATTATAAGCAATGTCTATGGCTGCCTTGTTGTCACAAAATAATTTCATTGCATTAGTTTGACATGAAGAATGCTTTCCTCCATGGCGACCTCAAGGAAGAAGTATACATGGACATTCAGCCTGGATATAGTGTATCCTCACAGACAAAAGTTGTATGTAAGTTGCAGAAAGCACTGTATGGACTAAAACAATCGCCACGTGCATGGTTTGGACGGTTCAGTGTGGCTATGAGAAAGTTTGGTTTCAATCAGAGCAACTCTGACCATACGCTATTTCTGAAACACCGAGAGGGGAAAATATCAACACTGATAATTTATGTTGATGATATGATAATCACGGGAGATGATGTTGAGGAGATTTCTAGACTGCAGAAATATCTGGCAACCGAATTTGAAATGAAGAATCTCGGAGGATTGAAGTACTTTTTGGGTATTGAGGTGACCCGATCAGAGCATGGCATATTTCTATCCCAAAGGAAGTACGTATTAGACTTATTGACCGAAATTGGAATGCTCGACTGTAAGCCTGCCTACACTCCAATTGTTCAGAATCATAGATTGGGCAAATACCCTGATCAGACACCAACCAATAAAGAAAGATATCAAAGGTTAGTTGGAAAACTAATTTATTTGTCACATACAAGGCCAGATATTGCTTATGCTGTGAGTGTAGTAAGTCAGTTTGTGCAGTGCCCAAGTGAAGATCATATGAGTGCAGTAGTTCAAATTCTTCGCTACTTAAAATCCGCTCTTGGGATGGGGCTCATGTTCTAAAAAAATAAGCATCTGGATATTGGTGGTTATACAGATGCAGATTGGGCAGGGAGTGTTACAGACAGGAGATCTACATCGGGGTATTTTACCTTTGTGGGAGGTAACTTAGTCACCTGGAGGAGCAAGAAGTAGAAGGTGGTGGCATTGTCAAGTGCAGAAGCTGAGTTTAGAGGAATGACCAAAGGGCTCTGTGAACTTCTTTGGTTAAAGAAGTTACTTATGGAGATGGGCTACACACCTGTTTCAGCAATGAAATTATTTTGTGACAATAAGGCAGCCATAGACATTGCTTATAATCCAGTTCAACATGACCGCACAAAACATGTTGAGGTAGACAGACATTTCATCAAGGAAAAGCTCGAGGCCAAGGAAATTCAATTCCCATTTGTAAATCCGAAGACCAACTGGCAGATATACCAACGAAGGCTGTCTCCAGTAGAGTACTCCACAACTCACTCGACAAGTTGGGCATGGAAGACATCTATGCACCAACTTGAGGGGGAGTGTTGGCGTGAGTTGTAAAACAAGAATGGAAGGGATTGATTGTAGGAGATTGAGTTACCATGTTAAACTCCATTGATTGTGGGTCAAGCTCAATCAATGCCTAAATTAGTTTACTGTATAGGCTATATAATTGTATTCTTTGTAGTAAGGAAAAAAATATATTATTCAATCAAAATGGTCGCAGTGTTTCCATTTCCTAGGAAACTAATTCAAAATATTAGTGGACAACTGAAATTCTTGGGGGTCTACTTAAACATTTTGAAACACTAAAAAAATGAGTTTTTTTTGACATCTATTAGGAATATCTGACAATAGTTTAATTTATTTGTTAAAAGAAAATACTTGAGAACCAAGAATTATCTTAGTAGTTAAATGTATTAGAAAATTTAAAAAAGTAGAACGGGGTGGAGGAGAAAAGAGATGTGAAGTGAAAATGGACATGGTGAAGTCGCTAATTCCCTTATGGGGTGGGGGGAAGGGGAAGGTCTTGGAGTATAGTTTGTTAGGAGGGAGGGAGGGAGGGAGTTGTGCTGTTGAATTGAAATTAAGTTGAATTGTGCACTTTAATTTGTGATTCATTATGATTTATTATGATTCATTACAATTGCAATTTAATTATGTTTTTGTTTTTGTTTGCATAATGCATGAAACGATGTCGTTTTACCGCCTCTATTAATAAATAAAAAAGAGCAATTGGTTAGATCGAAATATGTGAGTTTATATGTATATAATTTCGTTATTGATATTTATTTTATTTTAAATATTATATGTGTATTGTTGTGTGTATATATAATTATAAGTTATATTTAGGCCTCGTTTGGCAAGTGGTTTTTTTAGGCAAAAAGTCAAAGTTACTAAAAAAATCAAAAAGCCAACAATCCATACAAAAAAGTCAAAGATTTCATTTTCTCTTTACTTTTTGCACATCTTTTCGTAAAAAGCCAAAAAATCATCCCAAACATACTAATTTTTTTTACATCACATTTTAGTCAAAAGTCAAAAAGTTAATAAAAAAGTCTGTTTCCAAACAAGAATCACTACTTGTTTCGCACTTTGATAAAAATGATTATAGGTTCTGTGTGTGTGTGTAAATATTATTATTAGTAGTTTCTTTCCTCCCGTCTCTATGCTCTTGCAAGACACTTTTTTGTCGCTATTATCAAATGTTTATGATTTATGAATTATTAGATGATTGTGTTTGTGAGACACTTTTTCAGTGCTATTATCATATGTTTATGATTTATGAATTAGATGATTGTGTTTGTGTAACCTCGAATTATTTCTGTGATAAAATATTGATATTTGTTGGTATTTAGGTTTTAAAATATTTAATATTATATTTTACTTATGTTGAACCTTGAATTATTTTCTTAAATTAAATTTTTATTTTTTATCTTGAAGATGAGCTTCGCTTCGATGAAGCGCGCTCCTCACTTTGCACCTAGTTCGAAGGAAACCTTGGCACTTCAGTGCACCTATCGCCTTTAATAACACTCATTATTATTATTATTGTTTTTCTATATGCTTTCGAAATATTTCTATTTCTAAGCTAACTAAAACAGCTCATCAAAATGAATTTTTTGATCCTTGCATTTGAGACAGTATAATGCCTTCAGGTAGTCATTAGAAGTAATTAGTCCTTCAATGATATACGTGCATGCAACCTTAAAGAATTCTGAAAATAGTTAACAGTTTAAGAATTGTAAAGGTCTGATTCTTGACTTTTTTGCATGCATTCAGCTTCCTGGGCTTCTCTCTTTGGCCACCAAGTTCCTTCCCACTGTCATCAACCTTCTCAAAAAACTAGCGGAGGAGGGACAAATGCCTGCAACAACTGGACATCAAATGAATAATTCATCATTAGGGTCAACAAGCTTTCATAGTGGAGTAGACAATAATGGTGATATGTCCTCCAGTGATTCGTCTGAGGTGACTTCAACAGAAAATGGGACCGAGTACTCAAGTTCTTCAGCACATGAAAAAGTTAAATAAGCTCTCTTTTTACAGTGTGATTTTCTTCTGTTTGATGATAATGCTTCCAATGTGGGATGCTACATGCGCATGGAGCATCCGTATTAACTCTAGTGGTGACCATGTTTAGGAACAAGATTCTCAAGGCATTGATCTTTTTCTTTTCTTCTTTTGTCTAGGTGCCACATACAGGGGCTGTGGCTTCTTGTGAAAATGCCCCCTTCTATAGGTTTTTATTGTTTCAGTTTTTTCAGGTTTCAATTTTGTATTTTGGTTTGTGGGATGAGTTGCAGGGTTCTTGGGTATCCTTACCTTAAAATGGTTGATTCTGGTTCCTTTGTATTTAAAAGGATAGTAATTTCAAAGCGGTAGTAGTACCTCTCTTTGTATTTTAGTGAGAAATGTAGCAAGTGTTTGATCATCTTTTATTCTACTTCATTTTGTGTTTGGAATTAGCTGATAAGGTAAAAAATTGTGAATAATGCTTGTAAAAAGATTAATCTATATTTGAACATTGAGTGGGGGGTTGGAACACAAACCATTCTATAGCATGGTTATTAGAAGCTCCATTCGGATCTTATGATCCTATAATATTATGATCTATTTAGGCGCAATCGATCCGGATCATGTAAAAAATTAGTATTGAATCAATAGGCTAACAAAAACAAATAAGGAAATAAACATTTAAATATAGCGGTAATTTAAGAAAATTATTTAGTTAGAAAAACAAAGCTTTGGCGGAGTGTAAGGAGAGATGATTCTAAATTTACCTTAATTTTTGGGGGATTATTTTTGTGACTTGAATTCACTTTATCAAGATTTTAACGACAAATCTTATTATTCAGTTAAGCCGCTCTTTCGAGTTCTTAATTTATTTTCATATCTAATTTTGTTAAATATTTTTCTTCACTTTTTTATGTATTACTGTAGATTGTACAGTAACATTATATTTATCAATCCTTAACAACACTCAACTAAACAATATATCAACTTAAAACCAAAACCAAAGACAATGGAGAATTAGAAGATTAAGGTTCATTTCCAATTTATCATATACAAGGAAAGAGCAAGGAGACAAGTACATCACAAATTTGAAAGTAAGTCTGGGTATTTCTCACGGACTTTAGCTTTACATTCCCATATCGCTTCTTCAATGCCATGATGGAGTCACAATACTTTAACTAACGGAATTGTCTTACCCTTAACACTTGCTCCCGTGTATCTAAAATTTGGATTGGTCTTTCTTCATAAGACACATCTTCATCTACTTTAATCTCCATCCAATGTAACACATGAGAGGGATCTTGTTCGTACTTGTGAAGCATAGACACATGAAACACATTATGGACTCTAGTGAGTTGTGGCGGTAAGGCAAGACGATATGCAACTTCTCCAATCCGTGTGATTATGTCAAAGGGGCTAATAAATCGTGGAGATAATTTTCTACTCTTGCCAAGCCTCATTAATCCCTTTCTCGGAGAGATTTTCAAGAACATATGATCCCCAACTTCGAAAGACAAAGGCCTTCGACGACGATCGGCATAGTTTTTCTGTCAGCTTTGGGCCGTGACTAATCTTCGTCAAATAAGGGCTACCTTTTTAGTTGTCTCACTAACTAACTCGGGCCTAAGCATAAGTGAGTCTCCAACTACCGTCTAACACATCAGTGATCTATAGGGACATCCATAAAGAGCTTCAAAAGGTGCCATTTCAATACTGGCCTAGTAGCTATTGTTATAAGCAAATTCAACTAAGGGTAGGTGTTTCTCTCAAGACCCTTTAAAATCTAGCACACATGCCCTCAATATATCTTCTAAAATTTGAATGGTATGTTCGGATTGTCTGTCATTCTGTGGCTGATAAGCAGTACTGAAATTCAATTGGGTACCCAAAGCACTTTGGAGACTCTACCATAGTGTTGCTGTAAAGCGAGAGTCTCTATTGGACACTATACTCACCGGAACCCCATGGAGGCGAACAATCTCACAAATGTAAAGATCAGTCAGCAATTCTATAGAGTCCTCTATGCTCATGGCGAGGAAGTGGGTTGATTTAGTGAGTCTGTCGACAATCACCCATATTGCGTCATTACTTCTTTGTGTTCTAGGAAGGCCCGTGATAAAGTCCATGTTAAGATGCTCCCATTTTCATTTAGCAACAGGAAGAGGTTGTAGCAATCCTGCCGGTCTTTGGTGTTCAGCCTTAACTTGTTAACAGGTTAAACATTTGGACACAAATAAAGCTATATCCTTTTTCATACCCCTCCACCAAAATTGTCGGCTTAGGTCATGATACATTTTGGTGCCTCCTGGATGCACTGCAAGACATGAATGATGAAAGTCCTGTAAAACTTCATCTTTGATTGATTTAGGCACAAACAACCGGTCAAGGTAATGAATACTAGAATCGGTATAAATATTCAGGCCCCTCTCTTATTTCCCTTAGGAGATTCTCTCTCGAATTGCATCCACCTCCGGATCACCCAATTGTGCTGCTGTTACTCGCGCAACAAGGGTGGGTTGTGCAACGGTGGTGAATAGGATGGCTTGTTCGAAAGACTCCTGGAGTTGCAAATCAAATTCACTGACATCCCTCATCATTTTCCATTCCCTTACCGCTAAGCTGGCTATAGTACTTACAGACTTTCTACTCAAAGCACCCGCTACAACATTGGCTTTACTGGGGTGGTAGTGTATTTCAAAGTCATAATCTTCCAATAACTCCATCCATCTCCATTGGCATAGATTCAAATCTTTCTAGGAGAATAGGTATTTAAGGCTTTTGTGGTCAGAGAAGACTTCAAATTTCTCACCATACAATTAAATCTCCAAACTTTCAAGGCAAAGACAACGGCGACAAGTTCTAGATCATGCGTCGGGTAGTTTCTCTCATGGGTCTTCAATTGGCGTGATCCATACGCCACCACCTTGCCCTCTTGAATCAAAACACACCCTAACTGTAATATCACTGTCCCGTAGTATAATAATTGGTCCTTAATATGAATGTGATTATGTGTTTAATGTGATTTTGTGTGCTATCATGTGAAAATATGTGGTTTTGAATTTCTATCTGTTCACCGTAGGAATATCTGTTTGATTATCCGCTTTGAAAATTAAATTGAAGACCTTATCGGCCACAGAAATCGAAATTGACTGCGCCATTATGATTGGCATAATTTTTAGAGCCTACGGTGAAATTTGATTGAAAATTGATTCAGATAAGATTAAATTGATTAAATTAATGGATTAAGTGCCCAAATACTTTATATTAAAATATTGTGCTTGAGTGGGGTTGTATAAGGGGCCATGATATGTTCAATTCCCTCTCTTATTTTATCTTTGGCTGAAATCAACTCTCTAGAGAGAGAGAGAGAACCAGATTTAGAGAGAGAGAGAGAGGGTTCAATTTTGAAGATTTTGCTAAGGAGCTCAAGCTTTGAAGGGCTAGGCTCAAGAACTTGCTTCTATTGAGAGGATTGAGCTTCTAGGTGAGTAATTGATTATAAATTCATGAGCTTAATCTTGTGATTTTGTGAATTCAAAGTTGAAGGGTGATCAAGAACAAGAATTATGTTGTATTTGATGAATTTGAAGTCATGGAATGCATGTACGTGTATAATTGCCATGAATTGGTATAATTGAGCATGAAAAATATGATCCATGTAGAATTTTGGTTAGAATCCGTGCTTGTGACCACCATTGTACAATTTGAGTTGAAATGGAAGTTATATCTTATGTGATACCCCTGCCTCGTAATATGCTAATTGGTCCTTAATTTGGGTATGATTATGTATTGGGTATGATTTTATATGCCATTATGTGAATGTTTGTGATTTTGAAGTCTTATCTGTTCACCGTAGGAATACCTGTCTGAATAATCTATTTTGGAAATTAAATTGAGGGCCTTATCGGCCACAGAACCCGAAATTGATTACGCTTTTGTGATTAGCGTAATTTTTAGAGCCTACGGTAAAATTTAATTGAAAAATTGATTCGGGCGAGATTAAGTCGATTTAATTGATGAATTAGTGCCCAAATATTTTATATTGAAATACTATGTTAGTGGGCCTTGTTGTATGATAGCATTACACTCCCCTCTAGCCCTTATGAACTCAAAATCTGAGTTAGACTATTGAGAGGAAGAGAGAGCCGGCTGTAGAGAGGAGGAGAGAAGAGAATTGAGCAAACTTAGCTCAAAGCTTGGGAATCTTGGAGATTAAACTCAAGAATTGACTAAAGCTTAGGAGATCAGAGCTTCTAGGTGAGTAATTCTTGGAGTATAGTTTGTTATTTTGTGTGTTCAAGCTAATTTGGTGATCAAGAGTAAGGTTAAAATGAAATTGGGTTGTATTTGTTGAATTGAAGCCGAATATGTGCATGCATGTAAGAAATCACCCTGATATTGCATGTTTGAGCACAAATGTGTATAATCCATGTGAAATGTTAAAGGAAACTCATGTCTTGATCATCATTTGTGTTACCTAAGTTGAGAGTGTGGCTAATTCATCACATGCATGTACAATTTGAGAAGATATGAGCTTGAATGCATGAGTTTGTTATGTTGGTGTTGAGTTTGACATATTTTGGGACATGCATGTAGATAAATCAAGAAATTGAGCTCTATAATGTTATAATCTTGCATTAGTACCACGTTGATATCATTATATTGAGATTTGAGCCATTGCGAGCAAGTATTGTGGCTTGAAAACTGAATTGGAGCTCAAGAACACATTCTGGGTTTTCCAGAATTTTGAAGTCCGCTCGAGCGGGGTAATGGCCGCTCGAACGGAAAATACGTGCTCCTAATATAATTTCTGCAGCCCTTCATGTTTGCTCGAGCGGGGAAGTCCACGCTCGAGCGGGGAGCTACGTAGGATGGACTTCCACTCGAGCGTCCTAGGTCGCGCTCGAGCGTAAAAATGAGACATCCAGAACTTTTTGCAGGCATGGCTTCCGCTCGAGCAGGGAGCCATGTAAAGAGGCCTTCCGCTCGAGCGCCAGATTTAACGCTCGAGCGTAAATTTCCCATATCCAGTACTTTTGCAGGCCTCAGGGGTCCGCTTGAGCGGGGAATTCCACGCTCGAGTGGGGACCCTGTTTTCTAAGATTCTGTTTTTGCATTCTGAGTTCTGTTTTCCGTTCTCTTTCACTTGTAAGCCCTCTTAGGCATATGTTAGGCATTGTAAATGAATTAATGAGATATGAATAAAGTCTAATGAGGAATATATGAATTAAGGAACGGATTGAATTGTTAGTGACCCTTTTGTGTTCATGAAATGTGTAGGGTCAAGCTCCAGGGGAAATTCACAAGCCGATCACTGTGAGTAATATCAATATTAGAGAGCTTGTCAATGTCCAATTGTTTATTCCCTTATAAACTTTATGAATTGTTAATTGGGATTGTGGACAAAAGTCTGACATGAA